AACAGCGCTAAGACTTACATCCAATGCATTACTGCCATCAGTAGACAATCGGGACATCGATTTGGCGAGCATTTAGAGCGAGTGATGCCATTAATCACACGCTTTGCTTATTTAGAGGTTAAGGACAAGAAACAAGAAGAAGGCGATGAGTTGAAGGAAGTCTGTCTCCAAGCGTTCGAGTCATTTGTCCGCCGCTGTCCTAAAGAGATATCATCTCATGTGCCGACCGTAAGGCTCTAATCTATGCATTTATTTACATGTAATTCAAAAACTCTTTTCTTTCAAACAGATCACAAACGTGTGTCTGAAATATCTAAGTTATGACCCGAACTATAACTACGATTCCGATGGTATGGATGACGAGGACATGGAAATGGATAACGAAGAGGAAGAGGCGGACACTGACGGCAGTTATAGCGATGACGACGACATGAGTTGGAAAGTGAGACGAGCGTCGGCTAAAACATTGGAGGCGTTGATATCTACCCGACACGAATTGATTGTCGAATTTTATCGCAAAGTGTCACCTGAATTGATCCAAAGATATAAAGGCATTGATAACTGTTTTAAATATAATTATGCGAATGTTTAACTGAACTCTCATTAACTGTATAGAGCGTGAAGAGAATGTAAAGGTAGACATATTTAACGCATACATAGCGCTACTGAAACAGACGCGAACAGTGGTGGGCAGCGGCGGAACCGGCGGTTGTGACAACTCGTTGGAGTACTCGAACAACATCTCGACGATCGTGAGAGAACAGGTGCCTTCAATAGTCAAGTCTCTCCACAAACAACTGCGTGAGAAGAGCATCAAAACCCGTCAGAGCTGTTTCTCACTGCTCAGCGAACTCGTCAGCGTATTGCCCGGCGCTCTCACCGAACACATCTCTAATCTCATTCCCGGCGTTCTCTACTCATTGAGGTAATCCATGTCCTCCGCAGCCATTGGTGTCTCACTCTATCATTTGTGTGCCATTTGTTGTAGTGATAAGAATTCGAGTTCAAACATGAAGATCGATACGTTAGCCTTCGTCAACATTGTGCTCAAGAATCACAGTCCAGATGTGTTCCACAAACACATTCACATACTGTTACCTGCGGTCATAAATGCCGTTTCAGACTCTTTCTACAAAATCACATCCGAAGCACTGCTAGTGTTGACTCAAATCACTAAAATTATTCGACCCTTTGGTTTGTTTTCTCAATTGTATTATTATTTTACTTTATTTTGATTATATTTTTTTGGATACAATAGAAGGAAATATAAATACAAACTTCAATTTTGTGCCATTTATTAAACCCATATATGAGGCGACTTTTGTGAAACTAAAGGCCGCAGACATCGATCAGGAGGTAAAGGAGAGGGCCATCACATGTATGGGACAGATCGTCTATACATTCGGGGATCACATGCAGTCTGAACTACAAGTGAGTCTTCCCTTACTATTGGATCGGCTGAGGAATGAAATCACTCGACTTACATGTGTTAAGGCCATCACCAAAATCGCCAGGTTTTGCATATAATATACACATCCTTCCAATCAATTCGATATTAATTTTGTTTGTATTTTTAGTTCACAATTCAAACTCAATTTGAATCCAATACTTCCCGAAGCGTTTCCAGTATTGGCATCATTTCTGCGGAAGAATCAAAGGGCTCTCAAATTGAGTTCACTTCTACTCATTGACACTTTGGTCAAAAACTACAGTAAATTTTATTTTATATTTTTTATTATCCTCTCTATAAGGAAACGGCTGTTAGTATTCAATTGTATTTGTTATTCTCATTTCAGGCGAATATTTGAGTCCCGAAACGATTGGTATAATACTGAATGAAGTGCCGCCACTTATTAATGAATCCGATCTTCATATATCTCAGGTTTGTGTCCATAGAATACACATTTGAAAGTGATTTATATTAAAATGTGTTATTATTTTTGGACTGTAGTTAACGTTAAATATGTTGACTTCGCTGATTCGCTCGCATTTGGCTTTTCTGGCAATAATACCGCAAACAATACTACCGGAAGCGCTTGTATTGGTTCGATCGCCTTTACTTCAGGGAAGCGCTCTGAACGCAATGCTTGAGTTCTTCCAAGCGATCGTTCAAAACAGTTTCCCGGGACTCGACTACGAAGAACTGGTCGCTCGACTCACGCAACCGATTACACAACCGAATCGAAACCAAACTCTCCACAAACAGGCCTTCCATTCGATCGCCAAATGCATGTCCGCTATATCTATCATTGAGGAGAGACGAGCCATCGCTGGTGTGCAGCAATTGCTGAGTGACATTCGCGCCCGAAGAGACTCCGACACCATTCAAGTGAATATTCAAGTGTTCGCACTGTTGGCCGTCGGAGAGATCGGGAAGACTATTGACTTGAGTTCAGTGAAGGACTTGAAGGATGTGATAATGGAGTCGTTTAACTCGACGAGCGAAGAGGTCAAGTCTTCGGCCTCTTTCTGTTTGGGCTCTGTTTCAGTGGGAAATTTGGAACAGTATTTGCCTTTCGTTTTGTCCGAAATACAGAACCGACAGAAAAGGCAATACTTATTATTGCATTCATTAAAAGAGATCATTAGCTGCCAATCGGCTAACCCTCAAACCATTCAAGTATTGGAACCGCATTTAGACTCAGTTTGGAAATTATTGCTCAACCACTGCGAGTGTCCCGAAGAGGGCACCCGTAATGTTGTGGCCGAATGTTTGGGCAAATTAACACTCATTGATCCGACAAACCTATTGCCACGACTGCAACAATATTTGCGTTCGGAGTCACCTCTGGCCAGGAGTACAGTCGTGACGGCCATGAAGTTCACGATTTCAGATCAGCCCCAGAAGATTGATTCACTTCTTCGCACTTCGATCGGCGACTTCTTGAAGACACTGCAAGACCCGGATATCAACGTCCGTCGCGTGGCATTAGTGGCCTTCAATTCGGCCGCACATAACAAACCGTTACTAATCAGAGATTTATTGGACTCAATACTACCCCAACTGTATAATGAGACCAAAGTCAGGGTATGTCTGCTTTTCCACTCAATCGCTAGCATTTACACCATTTATTGAATCGACTTTTGCTTTGACTTTCAGAAAGAGTTGATCCGTGAGGTAGAAATGGGCCCCTTTAAGCACACCGTCGATGACGGTCTGGATATCCGAAAGGCGGCCTTTGAATGCATGTACACATTGTTGGACTCATGTCTCGATCGGATCGACATTTTTGAGTTTCTCAATCACGTGGAGGACGGGCTTCGAGACCACTACGACATTAAAATGCTGACATACCTTATGTTAGTCAGACTCTCCACTCTCTGTCCATCGGCTGTCTTACAGAGTATGCATACAATGTTTGCCATTCATTTGCAAATCTAATTCACATAATATCTTAAAATGAATGCTATAGGACTGGAAGGACTGGTCGAACCGTTGAAGAGCACGTGTATTGCGAAAGTGAAAGCAAATGCTGTGAAACAAGAATTTGAAAAACAGGATGAACTCAAGCGGTCGGCAATGAGAGCTTTTCTAGCATTACTTGCTGTTCCCGACGCCGGTATGTCTCTCTCTCTCTCTCTCTCTCTCTCTCTCGTGAATTTATCTAATGATTGTTGAAATGAATAGACAAAAACATATTGATGACCGATTTCTTGGCTCAAATCAAGTCAACACAGGATCTGTCAGTACTTTACGATACCATACAAAAGGACTCTACGGTTACGAACGATATGCCAATGGATTGCAACTGAACGATGAACTCAATCGTCGACTTCAGTACTACTTTTTAAAACGTTTTGTTTTGAAACAAAACTTCTGTAAACTTAACGTTCATATTATCTCTCATTTATTAAATACTTTGATAATTATAATCTATTAATAAGTCATTCAACAAAACATGCAATGAATGCATATAAAGAAGTGAAATATATTGGGTTTAAATTTAGTGTTATTCTATGTGTGCCATAATATAAGTCATAAGTGTTTGATTTGATAACAAAATATACCTATGAATTGACCAAATTATTGACGTTTAATGGCATCCAATATACGTTTCGCTCCCAACTCTGTCAAACTCTGGGCCAATTCATAGCCAAGTATTGCACTATTTCTTAGTTTATTCACTACTATATGGTCTGACATCTGATTGATGGCGATATCTGTGTAATTGAATGGACACGAACTGTCGTCTATATTTGCGTTCACTAACCGTTCGTTCAAATCAATAGTCATCTTGTTTTGCACTTTTGTGCGGCCGTCGAGACTGAGGACAATGCCTTCCAAAGTGAGCAGCGATTGATTGTCGTTATTCCATGAGGTGTGGACACCGATGGGCACCGAACAGCCGCCTTCCAACTGCTGCATAAAAGTCCTTTCGGCCAAACATTCATAAGTGGTCTTCAAATCAATCAATGGCTTCAATAGATCCAAAGTAAATGTATCGCCGACTCGGGTCTCGATGGCGAGCGCCCCCTGGCCTACAGCGTAATACCAGTTGTCCCGCAACTGATGTGATATACGACCGTTAAAATCGGATCTCTTAAGGCCAGCCGAAGCCAGGATTAACGCAGAATAATCGCCGTTCTTGTCGTCAAGCTTTGCGAGTCTAGTGTTGAGGTTTCCTCTCACGTCTTGGATCTTTATCTCAGGATTTAATTGTTTTAATTGTGCGATACGTCTGAGGGATGACGTGCCTATAGTGCCTGCCTTTGTGTCAAACAGTATGTCAAGCGGTTTATCCAAATGAAGACCTGATTTCAATACTATCGCATCCGATGGGTCTTCGCGTCTAATTGTCAAACAAATATTCGCATTAATATATCTATTCTCTTATTTTATACGCTTTGGTATTAAAAACCAAAAGTTTGTATTTTATTATTTAAAATGAAATTGATTTTCATTTAATTAACGAATAGATTACGAGAAAATATTATATAAATTGTATCTCAAATAATACTAAATGTGCGCAAAATATGTTTAAAAAGTTATGATAAATGTTGTAAATTCTAACACATTTTGAAATCATTTTTTATCGTCAAAAACTTTAAGATAAACTAACTTTTATATAAACCACAAGTTTTCCAATCCTTTAACAATTTGTCACTTTTTGTTAACAATAAATCATTTGTTTTAGAAATAGTTTCACAACTTTTTTAATGTCTAATAACGTATGAAATTGTCGTTCAATTGAACGGAAATTTGTAAAAAGCAAATCGTTTAGCAAATAATGTGTGAAATTTTTTAAATATAAAATCAAATCAACATTTTTGTCAAAAACGGCCGGAAATATAGACGACAGTTCGTGTCCATTCAATTACACAGATATCGCCATCAATCAGATGTCAGACCATATAGTAGTGAATAAACTAAGAAATAGTGCAATACTTGGCT